TCAACCGCTTTTCGACGCGCTGCAATACATTGGGAGTGAGCTTCTCCCTATTGTTTCCAGCGCAGGTGCGCTGTGTATTTGAGCCTTCTTGCTTGTAGGCATTAATGATATTCCTTGCCGTACTCGCGTTAACACTGGCGACTTCAGCGGCTTCCCGAGTAGTTTTGCCGTCGACCAGCACAAGTTTTGTGAGAATTTCTCTTTGCGCAAACGATGTTCGCCTACAGTGCCGTCGCGTCGGACACCAGCTCTCCTGTTGTTCGTCACTCATTTTGGTCGTTTCGTGCGGCACGGAGCTAATAAAGCTATGTTGGGTTGAGTGGAACCATTATCGTATGCTCGGCTCCAATTGTGGTACCGCTGCATAGGTCTGTCCACACACCCAGACAAAACACACGAATTCCTACGGGGGGGTGTAGGGGAAAATAGGTCACCGATTTTGACCGAGGCGAACGGCACTCATGTCAAGAGAAGGGCTTACACAATCACCCGCTACGTACGCAGTTCGGTTACATTATCGTGACCACAATGTGGCCTGAACATCGTGTAATCGGCCCACTCCTCAGTAGTTGATTTGTTGCAACAATAGGCTATACATCTAGACTGGATTTGCTGGGGGTAATTACAGCCTACGCTGATGCAATAACGTGGCAGTTGCGAAAGCTAATAGAGAGACGGGCGAAGCTGGGACACAGCCTACCTGCTTCATCCGACATGGTCCCATTGACCGAATCGGACAAGGTTCTCTCTAATGAGAATAACGGTGCACATTGAGATTGCGCATCGCAATCCACTCACAAAATGATTGATACACAATTACGATTCGGACGTCCGATTTTCCAATTGTCACACACCAACACAGGTTGATGCGTATGGGCACTGCACACCAACTAGGCGAATGTCAATGGGGAGAGGGGAGCATAGTTCAGAACTTCGGTCGCTGCTCACGATCAAGCAAATGTTTTACAGTGTAGCCCGCTGCTTACAAAATGCCGGTGTATTAACGTCATCACAATGTATATGCTGAACATCATTCAGCAGTCTTACTGCTCGTTTCTTACCAACAAATTGGCGAGTTGCTACTTAGATTGCAACGTGTCCACTTTGTTTTGCAAAATGTCCACTTTGGTTTGCAAAATGTCCAATGTGGTTTGCAAAATGTCCACTTTGGTTTGCAAAATGTCCAGTTTGGTTTGCAAAATGTCCAGTTTGGTTTGAAAAATGTCCAGTTTAAAGTGAAAATGGTATATATATATATATATATATATATATATATATATATATATATATATATATATATATATATATATATATATATATATATATATATATATATATATATATATATATATATATATATATATGCTCGTGTAGCAGTAGGTTAAATCTACTCGGTTCTCTAAGAACAGACCCAAGTGGAGCTAATGTGATGTTGTTATCCATATATGGTGAAACCGAAGTTTACCACCTATGTAGACTGTTATTTTTCCTTCTTTCGAAGGTGTGTGTGTGTGTATGCTTTATGGATCCAGAGCTTTGTAGGTTGACCAATTTGGTCTAGTTCAATGAGTGCTCAACTTAAGGGGTTTGGTGTAAGTAAACCTAAGAAGGCTGAAACGCGCACAAAAATTCCATCGGGTGCCATTACGATAGCCGACGTACATTCCCACGAGACGAACGTCAAGCTTATTTACTTATTTGACCGATTCATAGACCTGAAATATTTTCAAACGTATACCGGTAGATATACAAGCCATCGAAGACAGCTTGCATTCTGAACTTTCCACCTAATGCAATAAACAAAACATCTTTGGAGTGATGGCTAACACCGCTGACGCTGACACGAGTCAAGAGTTAGCTGACTGCAACATTTCTCTGGTAACTTAGCTGTAATGGTGGACCTTCCGTGTGCTTTGCTCGGTAGTCCTATTACACGTGAAGGTACAACGGTCAATAACGAGGGGACAAAGTTCTAGGAAAAAGCAGTCATATCGTTAGATCAACCACATCTTTCCATAAAGGAGACTGTGCTTTTCAATCGTCCCTGTATTACTATAAAGCTAGACAGTGTTTTGTCTGCTGACTGGTTAATGGGGTGCACTAAATTTAGTACTCTGTTGCCGGCATGTGTTTTGCACTGCCCTTTGTGTGGTCTAGGTGCGTGGGAAGTACACATTCATTCCTCGGCCAAACTCCATCACTATTATCTTGACAACTGGTGTCTTGGGTTGCATGATTAGAAAGCCCCACGGAGGAGAGAAAACAAAATCAGGTACCAGACATTGTAGGAAGAGGGCCGATTTCACGTGGGGGTGGGTAGGTGTAAAGAATATTCCACAGTCGAATTTTGAGGTCCGCTTGGTGATCATCCCGCATTAGGCAGTTGTTGCAGATCCACCGGTCCACAACAGTGATATGCTGCAATGAATTCCGTCTTGAAGTCGGTTAAATGATGCGATAGAATGATTAGCTTTGAGAACTTGAACTAATGCACCATTTTGCATATAGAAAGAGGTTTCAAATCCTTGTCCCAAAGGAGATCTCTATATGGACAGGATAACCCATATGTTTTATAGATGACTTATTACAACACGACCGCGCTGTTTAATTCCCTTATGATGCTTACCACCCTATTGTTCATAGCCCTTTACAAATGACAAGCATATGTCGGTATGCGGAAATGGCGCATGCCAGAATTCACGTCTGTTCATTCCAGCGTTCCCATTCACTGTGAGCATCCGCAATCCCCTTATGGTACTTGTGCCCAATTACACTCCCACGATAGGCGTATTGGTCGTAATCGTTTAGACAATGTTGTTAAGGTGAGACCAATGCAATCTGTTAAGCAGGAACTAGTGATCTACCGTATGTATCCAGGAGTGGCTCGGAGGACACTGATGGGCCCCACCAGTCATGGCTGAATTGCGGGGATAGATCCAGACACATATCGGTGACACCGTACAACACACCGATTTAAAAGGATGGATAGTGCAACATGGACCACGCAGGGGGGGGGGACAGTTCGGTCTTTAGCCGCTTGCTATCGCCTAGTAAATTGACTCATACAGCCAATAATGTGTAAGACAAAGCGGCTCAATGCATTTAGACGCTCAAGCCACAGTAGTAACCAACGACAGAAGAGGATTGTTGTCTTAAGCAGGAGTAAACTAACAAAATCAGTTGTATAGTGGCTGGAAAAGGAATGGTGATACAAACGTAGTAGTCACAGTAAAGAGAGGACCAACGCATCCGGTGGGCAACAAAGTCTACGACGGTGAAATCTAACAACGGACAAGAGTCCGAGTGTAATGGAAATTGGCGAATTAAGGAATCTATCTTGGGTTAACATGCTTCAGCGAATAAGCAAACCATGGAAGCGATTGTGTAGTCTCGCAAATCAGTTATTGTTTTGGAATTGGGTGTTGCCGGCTCGAAAACACTATTTGCTTAAAACCACTAGTCAAACCTCATTTCGGTCAACGTGTGAACCACACACGAGTGGATTGAAACGCAACTGAAGTTAATCAGTGATATGCCAACCAGCCTAGACAGTTGGATACTTCATACGCATAGATTTGCAACTTCTGCGCTTCGGTTTCGGCTCCTGCGTGGGTTCACGCACCGCTACCATAATCACGCTCGTATGCAACCACCCAACGGCTGCATGATAGCGAGGCTTCAGCACCAGTACGGGCTGCGCTTTAGCTTATCCATCATCTATGACCAATGCTACCCAGGGAAATGGAATCGTCTGTGGATCGAGTCCTAGATACATCATTGTCGGTAGTGATTTGCTACTTGAGCAATGTGGATAAGAATAACGTCCAGATTGATTCAGGAGTCGGCTTACAGTCACGTGGACAAATTGCACCATTTCAACCGATGTACATGAGTAACCAGCATTGCGGCCGCCTTGTGGCCCAATAGACCAAGCGTGAAATTCGATTATATGGGCACACTGCGTTAGCCACTCATACCTTGGAAAACCGAAGGGACCTGACTGAGGTGGATGCGTTAAGAGTGAAGGAGAGTTTGAGAAGTTAACGTCATTACACGTTGTAGAGCTCGCGTTCTGTACCAAGCTTCGTCCATGTTCGGTGGTACTTACCTGGAAACAAGCCCAGGACGCCGTGTTTTCCGTAACCGCTAGCCACCAGGCCATGTGAACATAATCGCGAGGCAGTTTGAAAGGACACATTTCGGACTACTGATAAGAAGAGTGCTGGATACTCACGATGATTTTGGAGAGTGGAACAAGTATACCCAATTGGTGCTTTGATTTACTTTTTCTTGGGGGGGGGGTAGAGATTAGTGTTGCAGGCGTCATGAAAAAGAAGAGTTTACAGACCGTAGATCTATTACCCACTATGGACCATTAGTGTGGGATCCTCTAAAATATGAAAAACCTTCCGGATAAAATGGTAACATTGCAAGTTTCGATTGAAAAGACAGTACCTGAGTTGCAAGCGTCATCCGTGTATTTCCGAATGCCGACCAAACTACGCTCGCCTCGGAAGTCCAAGAAGCTAGTAGCAAGTCTCACGATGCGAAAAGGCATGAGGTTTCGCGTGTAAAGAGTAACTGCACACCATCGAATACCCGACAGACAAGTGAGCAAGTTAACCATAATAGTGTATTGAGAGGAGCGATGGAGGGTGTCACACTAGGAAATAAGGAACATTCTCTGTTACACCAAGAACGTTCATCCTATGGCTCACAGAGAAACAGGCGGTTGCTGCGCCAGTATAACAAATGCTTAGTGCAAGCCACAAGCATACAGTGACCGGGGAACATTCTGTGCGTGAGGATTATCTGGGAAGACCACACCTAACAGCAGCCGGCCCTCGCTGAGCGTCGATGGCGCTGTGAGAGAGCAGCGAGATATGTTAAAGATTTAGAAAGCGCCGAAAGGTCAACGTGCCAGTCATGATGTTAGGTTGAAACAACTCATGAATCTAACCGGGTTAAGACAAGAAGAAGAATGGAAAAAATATCACATGCGGAGTCAAAAGCTTTATAGAAGTGCAACATTACAAAAGAGCCGTTCGCCGGGAGCTGAACATGCGGGATGAGAAAATGCAACGACTAAAAATCCGTCAGAATCGCGTAGGACTTTGGTTGACCAATGCACGGAATGGGTGAGATTTGATGTAAATTCAGAAGTCGTCAGAAAATCGATGCTGGGATGTAGATTTCATACGATCATCAATAGCGTAGACATCCATCACGCGAAGCTGGATCTGCTCCACGATCTCCCGAGACAATGTGTCCGATATTGCCTGAAAGATAAGTCAAATAATCCGTTATACAACCAAATGCCACGAAGTATAACGAAGCATCAGAGTCTAGAGAGTGAAACAAGGTCTTAAATTGGAAGAGTAACAATGTAGGCAATATAGATAACATCGTTGTCACTGCGTCATGCACAGTAGGAGGTTAAGGTATCGAGCGCAAACGATAGGGAGTCCCATGGTGTTAGTAACATAACGGGTGTACTGCACGCAAGGAGAAGCCCTGGAGAACTTGAATAACAGCGGATGGAAAGAGCCAGTGTTCGACAACTATCAAGGGAAGCATCGTCAGTAGTCAGCGGTGCTCTGAGGAACGTGTGAGATAAAGGAAGAATAAGTAAACCGAATTGATGAAAACATTTACCCCGAAATCGCTAATGCCCCAACAACATTTTAATCGTGACTTCTACTTTCTACAAACTTTACCCTACTCACAAACATCCAAAATTAATCTACTATCGCCCATTGGACATTCGAAGGATAGGTACTTCAGCCCATTAGGAAGTGACGGGTGAGTGAGCCAATCTGCAACACCAGGACAGGTGCTGTGAGCCCATTGGCAATACGTCGCGCACCAAGCAGAAGTCATGTGTTAAAATTTGCGTACCTAATCGTCAGCCCTCGGTAGCTCAGTGGTAGAGCAGCGGACCGGAAATTCGTGGACCGGGGTTCGATCCCCCGTCGAGGCACATTATTGTGCGTGAATTTTAATCGTGACTGCTACTTTCTACAAACTTTACCCTACTCACAAACATAAAAATTAACATTAGGTACGTCAAAAAGACAGTGAACCACGGATTTTCCAACGCAATAGTGTGTTTCTAGGACCAACACCATTGAAAACTGCCAAAAGTGAGGCCAGGGTGTCACATTAGGATCACTGCATCTATACCTTCGAGGTGATTTGACCAGTAATATGCTGACTATAAAAGTGGTCGTAGTGAGGACATCACAGGTTGTGGGGAATGAGTTCAGTGAGAAAGGTGATCAGACTGGTGGGATAGACGAAGTCATTGCAGTCATGAGTTTCGGCCACACTATGTGACCGGCAATCATAAAAAATTGCTGGTTGATCCAATTCTTTACCAACCAAGTGCATCATCAGAATGGGATCACAAGCATGGAACGTGCAGCGTTGACGACTCGATGGTAGGGCCTCAGGAGCGCTGATCGGCGTGGCGGGGTGACTAGGTAGGTAGCATTGACACTCGGTAGACTGTATTTGGTAGCAATCCAAATGATGGTTCACTACGTGATGGGTTGAGAGGTCTGTGTCATCTGAGCTGGATAGGCTGGGTGTTTGTCGATCGCTTAGAATAATAGGTCGAGAGTACTCTCGCCAGTGAGAAACGTCGAGGCGACTTTTCGTTGGACTGTAGTTCAAAAGTGACCACATCACGAAAGTCAACGCAAAACGAATAAGTGTCTCAACGGTAGAGCCATACAAAGTGGCAGAGTTAAACATGCTAGTGTCCACAAGATAGATGCTTAAGGTTTCAATGAAGACATTGACGTTGAAGCAGTGCACGTCCCCTTGTTTATACAAATGCATGTGATTGTGGAAACAGCTAGGTTGGGCTCACTGATCGAAAATCTAGACGTCCGAATGGATGAACACATTTTGAAGGGGTATGGTAAAAAGATGGAACACACGACGATTGCACCAGTTGAATTGGGAAGAAAAGTTGCCTCTGTAATCACGCGGCGTTTACTCGGCACCATGTCAATCTCGATGAATCATCACAATCCTCGTGGGTGAACAAAGATCTCACATTCTCAAGCTCCACGAGAGCCTTGCTAACGATCGAGAGTGCCCTCTAGCTGTGTATTCAAAAACAGCTGACAGTGGAACTAAATGGAGTAGCGTGTAGCGCACCAAGTAAAAACCTACTGCCCATCAATCGAGTTCAGATGACCTTGCTTTGAATAATCTGTTAGTTGCATGTACGTGAGCGAAGGTAATGAAAGAATGACGGTATCATCGCACAATCTTCATCTTCTGAAATTCATATTCAGAACAAAGCAGTAGATGTTTCACTGTCCATAGAAAAATCCCATAGCGCTATATGGAAGGGTGAGCTGGCAGAAGCTTAGACTTCAGAAAGCACCAAAACAGCCCAATTAGTGGCACAAGCAAATGGGAACTTCAGTAGCTAAACAGAATGAAGCTTAACCTTCTCAGATACCATTGAACCTATGCTAAGCCCTGACGCATGGTCCCACATTCTCACAGCCCCCAGGATCAAGCACGCCCAAGCATCAACCGAGTGGGACTTCGATGAGCGAATAAAAAAATTCAGAAGTCAAACGTGAGATCAGGCTGTTGAAATTACATAAGGCCGCAGGGACAGATAGAATTCCCCCAGTCCTCTTCAAATTTGGGGGACCTGCTCTTGTGGATGATTTACGCTAGTTACCAGTGCCACGTTGGAAGCAATTAACTGTCCGGATAGACTGGAGCCGCTCCGTTATAGTCCCAATTTTCAAGGGAGGCTTCAGTTCGGAATGCGGCAATCATGGATGCATCAGTCTGATCTCAACTGCCTCTAAATTGCTTGCGTCTGTCATTCTTCACAGACTGACTGGCACTCGTGAAAGTCAGATTCGTGAAGAGCAAGCCGAGTTTCCTCGAGGTCGGGGCTGAATCGACCACATCTTCCCCTTGCGCCAATGGTTGGAGCACCGCCATGTTTATTGACGACCTACCGTTGTCGTGTTTCTTGACATCAAAGTTGCCTTCGATTCGGTGGGTCGGTGTGACCTTTTGGACTGCCTGCTGAGGAAAGGTGTGCCTGATAAATACGTAAACATCATCAAAACGTTGTACGCGCATAATTCAGACAGAGTGAGGATAAATGGCAAATTGTCGCTACCCTTCAGTGTTATCAGTGGTGTGAGACAAGGTTGCCCACTGTCACCTTTCCTATTTAACTTCGCAGTTGACAAGTCATGGAATCAGCATTCGCTGGACACGAGCTAGAAGATATGGAGCTACTTCCTGGTGAGCGACTTCTTGACTTGGAGTATGCGCACGATATTGCCCTAATCTGTGACAGCTCCCAAACATGCCAAGCAGCACTGGACCGATTAGCACTGGCTGTCAATAGTTTGGGGCTTTGCTTTACTCCATCGAAATTCAAAGTACCTCTCCAACATTGGCAGGGACCCACCCCTGTGCTAACGCTTTGTGGGGATAAGCTAGAAGTCGTTCAAGAATTCAAGTACCTAAGCAGCTATATTAGCGCCCGTGGGATCAAAGATGAAGTTACGAACCGTACAGCAAATGCTCGAGGTGCTTTTGCCAATCTCCACTGCCTGTGCCGCAGACGCGACATTACTGTCGCTCTGAAGGACAGAGGTTATAACGAAGCCGTCCGTTCAACCTTCCTATATGGTTGCGAAACCTGGCCTCTCAGGTCGACAGATATAAAGAGGCTCGTCACATTCGATCATTGCTGCCTTTGCAACGTAGCTCATTTCTGGTGGGATCACTGCGTGAGCAACGAATGTGTTCGGCGCCGCGTTTGTGGTACAGGAAGAACTAGTGAACTGCTCAGCACCAGAATATAACACACCAGGCTTAGATGGTTAGGCCACAATGTTGTGCATATAAGCATACCGACTCACGCGACGTGCATTGTTTGCCCACCGGGGCTGCGGTGGGAAAAGGAGGACGGTAGGCCAAGCGATAACGGTCTTTGAAATGAAAGCCTCACTTCGAAGTTGGTGGATCCCGACTGCCTTGTTGGGGTCCTAAGTACGAAGAACATGTTGGGTTGGACACACCTGGTGGTATGGTGAAGAGCCAAACCCCAATGGCGTTTACGTTGTGTGTTTCTTTGTCCATCCTCTCCCCTTTAAATACCCTCTCCAAATCCGATCTCACACGAATCGCATAATATAACATTCAACATTATATTGCTTGCTTTTTGAATTCTTTGTAGTGTATTTTTTAGTATCTGATCTTTTTATATTGAGGCACATTAGCTGGGGTGTGTTATTTACAGAAGACACCAGGACTGGAAACCTATATCGAGACAAGGGGCTGCTAAACAACAGAGTTGAACGAACTCCTAGCTGTGCAGGAAATACAAACATTGGTGTGTTGCAGATTGGGGGAGAGACGATGGAGTCATGTCCCAATTCGCATCCAGCAATATCTTCACGTGAAAGACTGAAGGGAATTTGAAGCGCTCCAGTGAGGTGACTTTATCAGATTAAGACATTTGAGCGGGGGGATCGTGGGTGACCGAAAGCACCTCGACAAGTCATGGGGTGGGGGGGATGTAGGGCCGCAGTCTTGAGCATAACAGTAATATGACTGATTCTGTATTCACAAAGTGTATGTGGCCGACAAGGCCATCAAAGCCAGACAGAGCCTCAGATGACTGGATGAAAAGTGAGGATAATGAAGTAACTGTTCGAGTCACATTGACGAGCGCGTGGAAGAGTACAATAGATAAGATGAAGCTGATGAGGTGTGAAACAGTGGCAATATCAAGGAGGGTCACCTAGTTGGCATATACAATAGTCGAATGTCTCAAGTCGCGTTAAAACTAGAAGGCTACGTGATTGACACGTGTTGCGATGTAGCCAATGGGTGAAGATGAGCTTCGTACGGAGGGTGATGTGCGACTTGCAAGTGTACCATCCGCATGATTCCATGTCGCGCGTGCAAAGATGCACGTTAGACCCACCGAACGAACACATATATGCCCGGATTCAAAGTGCGACGATGAATCGATGTTGCGGCAAGCCTCGATTGGCTGTGTGAGCAGCAGACCACTAAATATAGTGCAGCCTATTAGCCAATCAGCAAAAACACAATGGGACGTCGAGTAGACAGCAGGGACAACTGGAGAGTATGAATTTCAATGTATAGGAATATTACTGATCGATGGATTCATTCGATTCTCAACCAAGAAAACCTTTGCCAGTCCAACCACTGTTATTACGCCTTTCCGGTGGGACCGGAGCGTCAAGTAGAGAGCAAAGAGAGCCAGCAGTATAACTGTCAAATCTTCCCCTTTCCGTGTGATATCCGAAAAATCGATCTTGTTCTCACAATTCCATCCAAAAGCAGAAAACAACGACTTAAAGCAAAAGGGGGTTGTGGGACTAACTACTTCAATAGTGATGTGGAAGTCAACGGATAATTATACAGTGAAACCTCTGTAAATTGACCACTCAAGGGACTGGACCAAAGTGGTCAACACACAGGGGGCTGGATCCATAAGGTTTACATGGTGAATGTTGAGACAATAAAATGCTAGTTAACTTAGTGAGGCGATCAGGATATGGAGGTGGTCGACCACGGATGTTCTACTGTATATCAACAGAGGATTGTTCGCATTCTACACGTGTGTAAAATGTTACTTTTTATCTAACTAACATCATCAATATGATTTACAGCCTTTGCAATACAAATGTTTATGCGTTTCGCAAGGTTTTCGTGAACCTGATGCCGTCAATTTTGTGACATTCATTGTTTATTCGTTAAGTCAAGTGCTAAGGATATGTGAGTTTTTGAGTACATTTGCTCTTGTAGACTGCCGCTGAAAAAAAAATCCAGAGGATTAAGGTCTGGTGAACGAGCAGACTACTCCATGTTTAGTCAGTTGTGGGTGCAAAAAATCGGTAAATAAGTTCAAATTTTGTGTCACATTTTAATTTAATGAAAAACACCAATTATCTTGTGTCCAGACTTCACGGACACCCTGTAGAACAACGAGGCCATCTAACAGGATTAGCAGTTAAACTCTGCTCCACTAATGGCGAGGTAAGCATAATCTTCACGTGATGGGTATGAGTTTTCTGGAAACAAGTTGTTACTATGACCGTACATAAATGGCTGAAACCGTTTTCATTAAAATCAATAGCTCTTCTGTGAGATTTTACTAGGCTCCAGGACAGCAACGGTGACGACAAGCAACTTTGAGAACAGAAAATATTAGACGACTATCAGTTTGACAATTGGGCTAGTCCGAATTGTGGCCATGGTGGCCCTGTTCTGATCAGAGTTTATCTAAGACAGAACGAAGGGCGGTCGCGCATCAGACGTCGGCCATTACACTGATACTGAATGACCATCCAAAGATTAAGAGTAAGATGATAGTTTTCGGAATGATGAAGAGCGGTACAGGAAAACAGGGGTAAAAATGTCAGTCATATACCCGAATCTCGTTAAAGTAGTTCTGGTTCGACGAAAAGAGATGGAGGTACATGAACCGAGGTAAATAACAGGGGCCTAAGAAATTATCTCCTACCTGCCCAACTGCCTTACGGACACTTCCCAAACATGTGTTCAGAGATGATGCATAGGATGAGCGACTCAGTAATAAACATATTATTAGCAATATTTCAAGAGTCGACTGAATACGAGAGGACAGAGACAAAGATAAGTTGACATAAAGAATTCTGCTGATCAAAACTGGTAAAAAAGCAGCATGTGCAGTGGTACAATGAAGGCAAGGAACATAGAATACCAAGAGAGCAGTAGGGTGAATTGTTGTTTTTGATTCGTCGGCACACATCCAGGAAATCGCCAGGAAAACATCCGTTTCATCCTATTGGGGCTCGTCAGTAGCGCAAATCCGCTGAATCCTTCCGGAATTGAACCCATGACCTTACTCTTACGAGACAGCGCGGCTCATCATTCACTGTAATGCAAGTTATGAACGTGTAGGACAGGGGTGGTCCCCAGAGCTGCGACTTTTCTTATAAGTCGCCACCAGTCGAGGTGGCATGTAAGCTGCAAGGTGATCACTTATTATTATTATTATTATTACTATTATTATTATTATTATCTTTATACTAGACGAGCTGAAAGCCGAGTAGCGCGCTACGAATTATGCAGAACCGGAGAGAAGAGTCGATTTGACACCGTACATCACAAGTGAAACAGTTTGCTTTAGGAAGACGCCACAAGTATATTGGTGGATTTGGTATGGAGAAAGACTGCTACCGCCATGGTGAAGACGGATTGTAGGTCAGACGTTGAAATAGTGACATAGGTTGCGTGATTATGTGGGAGCACATACGGTGGGTATAGGAGCCACGAGGTGTGGAAAGGCGGCATAGGAATGTGTATTGGCAAAAGATTAAGTAGATATAATGGAAGGAATACCTAACCGAGTAGCACAAACTCACTTGCCACCAAGCCATTTCAGAGTGCCGGTTTCCCGGTATCTCAACACCGGCGATGCGTAAGGCCAGATGAAGTATGGCGGCTGCAATGTGCTCCGGGGAGAAGTCTAGACAAATTGGAGAGTGATACGAATCAGCCAGTATAGACCACGCTAACCCTGGCAGTCGTGCCAACGCAACTGTGGCCGCGTTCAAAGGGGTAGCACCCATCGGAGCACCAGCACTGAGATCACCTCCGCAGGGCTGCGCAATGCCTTTGCCGACCCAGTGGAGCAGAGAATGCAGGTAGTGTACCAGATAAGAGTGAGGCAGCGGAGGTCGACGCACGTGAAATGCTAACAATCGCATGAGAAACAACTCCGTTTGGACGAGGCTCTCACGTAAACGATCGTAGTCATCCCCGACGTCCAGAGGTGGGCGACGATTTTTGTGTAAACTACTGCTAAAGACAAAGGATTGAGGAGAGTAAAATTAAGCATGGGATAAAAGCAGAAGGGAGCAAATAACTAGGCACGAAAGAACGCTACTCTTTATGTGTCAAGTTGGGCGAAAACGCGAGGTGGCTGGTCGATGACGTGGAAGTAAGGCATGAAGAAACCGACAGAAAGATTTGGCCAGACTGATGCATGCCGTCTTCGACATGGTGGTCTATATAAGTGATTGGAGAACAAATCGTACATGGCGCAACAGCGCAGCCTGTAGCGCTCCTGAGTTTGGTTCCTTGCATCTAGCTTCTAATATTCCATCCCGATAATTTTTACGTATCTCTTCCTTAAATCACCTTCCGTATTCTACTTGTGTTCAGTCCTGTGTTTTTACGGTTACTATCTTGGTGACATGCGTCACAGGGACTGGATCTACCGCATGTCAGTGTCAGAATCATAGTTGTTTAGCTGAACAAAACTGAATCGAAGCAAACAGGAAAGTGATTCCGGAATGTGTACAACACTTCGGTAAGACTAATTGGACATTATTTTCAGAATAGGCTAACAACCCAAAAACTGCAAGCACTCGTGGGACGACGATCCGCTGGAGTGACATCTTCTCCTCAAAGCACCCACCTGATGTGTCAGAGTCAGGTGTGCATGACGTTGTGTAGTGCCAAGGACGGCAAAAGCCGTGTAATGGATAATAATAATAATAATGACAACAATAAAACCAGTATATAACGACCGAGCAAGACAAGCCCGCCCTTAAGGAGCGCGACAAGTATTCAGATATTCAGTGATCTTCATTACCATCTGCGCAAGCCAACAAAAGGTAGATTGGGAGAGGCTGACAACCGAGTATTTAGAGTACACAGTGTTAGGATGATGCGGATTAGACATATAGTTTGTATCAATTTTTAGTTGCCTGCCTTCATCTTTCTACCGTTTGTTTCTTGGCACTTGCTTAAACGCATCAATTCTCTGCTTTGATTGGCCGGCCCACGTCGTTCGAAAGGGATGCGCACTCTCATGGGTCCATCTCCACTAATACCGTTTCCACCAACTCGCCTGATTGGTTCTTTCCTTAACCACTTCTCATTCGCCAGCATTATTCAGTGACTCCTACGTTGATGGTTGGTTCCAACGTGTTTTAGCAGTCTTGTTTCAACCACTGCTATTTAAATGAGCAGATTACTGGTGTAAAAACTCTCCGTCTTGGCTTATCGGCGTGTTTTTCTTGCGGCCGTGAACAATCGGCGGCGACACAACACAGTATGAAATGGTTACATTACTTTACTCAACCGGAATGAATGGCGTTGGAAAGAGTAATGCCGATGTGGAGCCATTTTGTGGTTAGACGTAGTGCTACTTCCCAGTCGGATGGGTTCGAGTCCTATTCATCCAAATAACGAAAGATCATTGGATTGGAGGATGCGAAATGTTAGTTCATGGAAGGGGCACGTAATCGCAGAACCAATACAATGAGCAAAAATACTCGGCGTAGCTTCAGAACACTAACCAAGCAGAGTACTACCAGGTGATGCTCCGTTCAAACTCTTCTCTCGCTATGCACCAAAAAATTCGTTCGCACCTTGTGTGCGATGCTTGAAGACACTGGGGAGTCTTTCTTCTGACAAATCCTGCTTTAACAGCAGGCGCACAATGCAGTTTGATGGCGTGTGTGAAAGTATAAAGATAACCAATGTGGACATCGGTCATGGGGACTTTGAGGGAAAAACCAATGAATGCGGACGCACCGGTAGAAGGCCACAATGACGTCCCGGAGGCGCTGATGCTCTTCCTGCACTTTGCCACCTAAACTGATCGAGGCCATCGCGATAGTCTGCGATTGAGAGGGGGCGGAAGAAAGAAAAGATGATGATAAAATACGGATGAACAAAAGCCAGTATGCGAAGTGTGTGAATTATGGCCGGGAAAAACCATAGTGTCCTTAGTGGAGCAGCGAGTGAAGATCTCTACAGAGCAGTGGTAGGCGATGACTACAACAACGAAGTAAGGCTGTGATGTTAATGACTTAAAAAAGTGCCCCTTGAGAAAGAGAAGAAAGGCATCAACATTACGACGGTACTCAGTACCGACGCTTCGTTGCCGCGCAAACACCACCAGTTGCGGCTGGGATGAGGATAATGCGAGAGGCACTCGGTCAATAGGCAGGCTCGAACCTGCGTCCTCGGATTACAAGGCAGGCTTGTGATGCCTAAGGCTACCGGCTGGCTACTAAGCGAGACTGTCAAACGATTGAGCGCACACGCGAGGGGCTGAGTAGCATGTGAGCGGAGGTTGAACGCAAAAGGAAGTAAAAATGAACGCTATGGGAAATTTGCAATCGAACGATCCGGCGTTTGGCTGGTACGGTAACTTGTCCAAGGGTGCGTTTCCATCCATTAAAGACCAGACGCGGCTGTGAGGATGAGGAACACAAAAGGTGCGTGCACAACACAATTACGGCGCTAACTAAATAACATTAGATAGCTTAGTCACCGGGAACCTGTCAGCCGCAGTGGACGAATGAAGAGAATAGAATGAGTGTCTACAGTATGGAGTAGCACTGCTGCGGCCTGACTGTATCGGCTTGGAACAAAAAATTTCTAAATAGGAAAAAGCAGCAGACATGGTTTGTAAGAGGACGTCAGCGTTCCGTTCATTCTTATCAGTCACAAACATACAACATTGATAGATAGATCGAAATATTGTCATAGGAGATCGTAGATGGCCAAGCGCTTGTGCTAGAACAGGGTAGGCTTAGAGCTAGTCAGCTGCTTATGATGACATATTGTTAATCATAGATTTGGATGCCGAAACAACGCATGCGACCGAAACAACAAAAGGCACCCGAAACTCACAATGACGCGTGACAATGAGAAAGCCAATTGTCTTCGGTATTTAGATGTACTGAGTAAAGGACGACCAGACGGTTCCATCAGAATGTTTCTGAAGGTTGCTAATCTGGACTGGACAATGTCTACACTTTACGAGTTTCTCTTTTATTCAGTACAGATGACCTGCACACAAGACACCATGGAAGCAGAAAGGGAATTGCTTTTCAATACGCTACAATTCAACTATCACCCATTGCAGTTCTCTAAGCTCTGCAGTAAAAAAACAACCGGGATCGTGTGTCAACAGTCCCGAAGAAACAAGGGTAACAACGTAATGAAGGTTACCGAGAAACTGATAAGTGTTCCATTCAAAAGGGAGTGTAATGCGACTGAACTGCGACTGCTTACATGAACGAGACCCATGCTAGTGTTCGATTAAGATACCGACGACCAGGCAGTGCATGGCCAACTGTCTAGATAAATTCACCTGTAGCTGCGAAGACAGCGACGTTGGGTGCAATGATGGAAGTTCAGAATCAATGAGCACATTCCAAAGTGGTTACGCAACCAGGTGGGGTCTGTGGCGACGGAATCAGGAAAAAGAGCTGCCGCTGCGGTCACAAGACTCTTGCTAAGCACCGGCCACCGAGTCAATCCTGATAAGCCGCCCATAGTTTTTAATGCGAAATTAGGGGCCCACATGATCAATCGCAAACGCTCACCGCTATGCGTTCAAAAACAACTGACGTGATAGCGAAAGCGCTTGGTCATCTACGATCTCACCTAACACTGTTCTGGCTCATCTATGAGAGTTGCACGTTTGTGATTGATAAGAGCGCAGGAAACGACGACGCTAACTCACAAATTGCGTTTTCCGACTTTTTTGTGATGTCATAAATAAACCTAACGAGTGTACACTCATAATCTAATTGACCAACTATTAGCTTATTGCAATGCACAACTAAGTAGATTTGGTGGACGATCCGGGTACGTGGGTCATCAGTTAATGCTGACCCAACGTACTAAAATGTGTGCGATTGATGACTGATGATGAATTCGTTATGCAACCACTGGACTCCCGTACAGATGGACACTGGAGGCTTGTGTAGTAATCGTCACATTTGCAGAAATCGACTTGAAGAGCAGGTTGTTGATAAGTGGCGCATCTCCACTCCTAGTTCAGTGTATACGCAAATGGGCAAGTTAAGCTGGCATACAGTTGCATAAAAGCAATATTTTTAGATTAAAACCGGCAGGAAATTTACATCAACATCTCGCATCAATTTGCTATGCGACTACACATCCGATACGGTGTGAAAGTGCGATGGAGATGATGAAGGTCAATAGTTTCGGCTGCTACCACTAAATTGGTAACCGCGTACCTAAGTGAGGTGGATTTTCCGAGAGTACTGTAACGTTGAAAATAGCAAAGTGTGATCAGAGATAGCTCAATGGAATTTCGGACCAGAACCGAAAGAAGGGCCACGTTGGGTGAGTCGTCAATGTCTCAAGTCAAGTCAGTAGAAGCTTACGGGGCACTGCGAACCAGGCCTCTGAAGCCGCACTGATGATGTTGCCTTGTCAGGCAACGAAACGTCTGCACAATGATAACTCAGCCCGGGGAACAACTCAAAATCCGCACCCACACCTCGAACTACGGATGTTCTCATTTATTTCAGTATCAGTGATCTATCAGTTCCACCATATTTTTGTGACCACAACTTTATCCTAAGATTTTGAGATTTGACGAATACGAAACTCGGTTAGCTTGTTGGGGAGAGCTTGCGAATTGGTATACAAACCGGTGAGGACATCAGGGGTTAGGAGCGTGTTAGCGAATGCTGATTTCCCATAAAGATCTATGCCGACCCTTGTGGGATCGGTTGTCGAGCGTTTTCTTTTTGTAGGACTACCGACACTGGCCCTTTGGTTATTCCGGGTTATAGTGTATAGCACTCGGTGCAAGCAAGAGGAAAACCCCCCAGTCCGCCTTTAGCTGCCGATGTCTTTTCTCACTGTTCCTGTTTTGGGCTGCAAAGAGATGGGGTTGCACGGGTGAAATGATTGCTCGAGGTTACCTTGTCTATTTGTAGCCAAGTGTTCATCGTCTTTAGACAAGTCAAGTCAGTATAAGCTTTATTTGCCCAAATGGATGCAGTTCCAGCATTACAATTAAAATGTTAAGTTTACAAATGGATAGAAAAATGATTAGGATGCACTGTTATAGATCGATCGAGCAATGATCACAAGACGCTAAACTAACCATTCGAGATTTTTAAGCATTCTAAACGGAGGTTTCATTAAAACCATTTTTCCGAATTCGTTTCAATTGTGGCAAATTTTGTGTCCAAAGACAGTTGATCGGGAATCGTGCGCGATATCTCAGTGCTTGTATTCAGAAGTTTGATGGGGTAGAGGGTCTCAGTGACCTTGGAAGTCGTTTAAACAAAATATGTTAGCTTATTCTTGAAAAACTGAGATATATACAGTAGATAATGTAAAATACGATGTTCGTCGAAAAAGGCAACGGCCGATTTAAAGGCCCCACCATGGAGGATAACGGGGAAAAGATTGGGATCACTTACGTAAGGATCAATATCGCCGAGGCTGTGTCGGAACGAGTGATCGATTGCATCCGGACTCGTATCTGTATCTCCATTCATGGTGGAAGAAGGCTTGCTGGTGTCCGGTTGCTCGTCTCCCGTCGTGAGAACGCGCAATGCCCGATGCAGAATAGTGCACGCAGTGGCTACAGCGCAATCACTCATACCGAGGCGACGTCCAGTTTCACGAATAGTCAGTACGACGGAGAACAGCGCAGCGTCTGACAAAGCAGGTCTGGGAGGCATGCTGGCCAACAAACTGTTTGGATTACGAATAGCAGTGATGGATGCCGGTGCTTCGCGTGAGTTCATAGTTTAACTGAAAAGATAACAGATCAAAAGGCGGTTCTATGTAGGGAAGTATACGCACTGAAGGATACATGGTGTGTGTGTGGTTGGAATGGATACAACTAAGCGGGTAACAACCTGATGGATTTGTGAGGTATGAGAAAATGGGAGAAGGCGGGCACATCTTTTAATGAAGACGGTAAAGTGAGATTGCAAAGAGCCCTTAGCATTCGTATGCCCCAAGGCAATACATTGGATAATCGTTGGAAATTCTAATGTCAAAAATTTTAAAAAGGCTAGCGCGCCAGTGAAGGAAAGTGCGATATCTCTCTGACAGTGGATACCGATTACCGGGGTGATAGCAAATGTATTTCACTGCTCAATGTGTGCAAGCTTTTGGATAAGAAAACATTTCACGATGTACTGAGATTGTGACACTATCACAAGACCGGTTGACAAGTGGAATGCAGTTGTGCAGAGCTCAAGCTGTCAGATAGATGAAAGGAACGAGATCACCAGTATTTTTGTTCGTCGCAGTCAGCCGATAATACAGATAAGTCAATTACCTATCTGGAAAAGTACTAGATGGTCGTTTCGCCCTATTGGGGCTCGTCAGTGGTGCGCATCCTTCGGTCCTCTACGGAGAATCGAACCCACCAATTTACAATTCCGAAGCACAGCGCATGTGGCTTAAACTGCGCATGGGTCGAGAAAAACTTAGGCCTGCAAGTAATTGCAACTGGCCACAGTTCCCAGTGAAATAGTGTATCTAGACAATAAGCTTGCGATTTGTGTTATCCGTAATGGACGGAAGAGAAGAATGTCCCCTAGATGTAACGGCACGATTGTGCAAAAATTAAACCATTAGTAACGGAATGTAACAAGTCAAATAGGACTGCGGCGGTTACTTCGGCTAATGATGTAGCCAGGAAGTAATTTAAAGTAGAAATATTTGGAGCAAAGTGCCGCCCCAAGCTATCGGTCACATATATACCGTAGGTTTGTGTTCGTGAGAGTGGGACTATCAACCAGCAGTTCCAACCGATATCTTGCGCTTAACCGATAACAGCATTGCGTTATGGACAACTGTAGTTTTTGTGTAGATTCGTCGCAGTTAGACACAGGACACCACATACAACTGTAGTTCTTGTATTGCAAGTGGATAAAGACGAAGTGTACGGAAAAGGAATCACATAGTAACATCACATACAACCACAAGCATACAAAGTAGAGGGGGAGAGAGAGAGATAGAAAAAGCAAGTCCATTCGATAATGTATTTATTCCTATCAATAGATGAACGAAAGCAAACAAAAGTGGTAAACGTTGAAAATAAAAAGAAAGTTAGCAGACAGAAGATGTAGAATAGCAACTATATACAAAAGTGGGAGTGGGTGTATATGAATGTGGGTAGTACTGTAGGGGCGCAAACGATACTGATGGGAGGCGGAGAAAATCGCAAAATGATGCGAGGGGGCGCGTAGTAGACAAAGCTCGACGACATGGAGCGAGACGCCACCGGAAGTACAAACAAGTGCACAGCGGGATGACATGCACACAACAGGATGTGCGTGCGAAACGTCAATGGAGGCCTGTTAGCGCCTGTGGGCTTACAAAACCAAAGCACACGCACGGTAACAAAGTGAGGCGAACAAGAACGTCAAATGCAACCATGACGGCTATTGCGGTTGGAGATGCAAGGTTAGGCGGCCAAAACAACCGAGGATCAATGTTATCAGATCAGCGAACATGATCAGTGCTCAAATGTCATTGTAATGCACAGATAGATCAGCGCGGAGTGAGCTGAAGTAAATGCTAAAAAGAGGTCATCGGAAAAAGAAGAGAACAGTAAACAAGTGGAGGTGAGGAGTGTGGAGGCAGCAAACGGTCATACGTCAGACTGTAGGCAGCGAACATGTGGAATAGCGTGGATTATCCTGTGGAAGCAACCCAGCAACTTGTGAAGATTTGGAATGCACAGACAAGGCGCCAGACAAGCTTGGCACGCCATAAACACTTGGATCGGAGGATTCACGTGACATGGACTCTAACTGACCCGTGGACGGCAGTGAGGAGCGTTGCATGGTGGAGTGGTTGTCGTCTGGATCATTAGAAAGCGGATCCAGAAGAGAGAGGTGACTGCCAGCGTTCACGCTCGAATGACTGGAACGCACCAAAGGGGTTTCGTTGCCACCGGAAACAGCACTGTTGGTGATCAGACGCGTTTTGTGTCTGCGAGGGAAGAAATGGTTCACCATTACTTTGGTACGCCGACGACAATGAGAGCCGAGACGATTTGGACTGGACAAGCCGCGAGTAGGTGAGTGTGCTCCATGAACACTGGGACATCCGGGTCCACCAGTGTTGATGGAGGATGGACAGGCGTCTCGAGAGAGATACTGCTGCAGCAGAATGTAGATGAACTCGAGATCGCGCTAAAAACGAAAGCAAACAGATTAAAAGGCAGGCAAGAGAATCAGAAGCAAATTGCACGACGATTGAATAGCATTGGGTGGATTCCGTTTCCATAGAAATAAACATGAGCCCAAAACATGTAGATACGAATGAGCATGTGTGTAGTACGGTAGAGTACCGTTTGTCATGGCGATAGATTAACATTAATGATTGAGGATTCAATGAGAAAATGAAGGAAGTTACACGAAATTGAAGTGGTCACAAGTGCTAAAATAGAAGCATCAGTTGCTGCATTAGTGCAGATCGCCGGACGAAGTTGATGCATCGATCCGAGAAATGCTGCCGAAATGAGAAAGAAGGGAAATGATACATCCTCAGGCAAATATGTATGAAGGAATATTGAAAATTACGAAGTGCAACTGAGTCAATCCGTCGTGGTGTTATCGGTCTATGGACCGCTCGAATCTAGTTTCGAGGGGAGTTCCGGTCAATTCGAGACTTGCTGAAAACAAAGAAAGCGACAAATTTGGGGAGGCGACAACTGCGTTTGTTTTTCAGTTTGTTCCCCTGATAGGCACTTAACCCAGCATTCCACTAATACTTGGAGGTCTGCAGCATATAAAAATTCATCAGTATGTGGGAATCAGTCTAGGACAGACGGTTTCATTTCATCATTACTGTGAGAAAGTGGACCATGAAGGAATTCCATTGGGGTAGAAAACGCTCGGTGCCAAGTCAGGACTAAAAGAAAAACGAGAAGCGGAGGTCCAAATGATAAGAAGGTTTCATGCCATAAGGTTCCCCCCCCCCCGTCAATTCAGTGGAAGTTTCAACCCGCCTGTACCGGTCGAGAAGGGAAAGCTGTTTTTCGGAACAGAGAATGATCTTGGATTACAGCGTTTGTTGTTTGCAGCGTAAGAGTAAACACGCGTGTAATTTAACAGTAACCTATGTGAGGTTTGCAAGTGATAATCTGCAAACGCACTGAATGTCTCCAGGAATGACAACTGTGGGATGGGATCCATCGCGGAAAAAATCATTAGCGATAGACGTACGTACTGCGGCTGCGTATCATATAAATACACTGTGAACGAAGCCCTGGGAAAAGTTCCTAAGAAATTTCATCACATGCCGTTCCAGGTGCAAGAGATCAGCTTGTTGACCGAAAGCTTGAGTAGAAAAAAAGGCATCAGTAGTATGCCGGTACGCAATACCGACGCTTCGGTGGTGCGCAATCACCGCCAGTTGTAAGTGGGCTAAGGATACTGCGAGGGTCGGCCTGTCCCCATGCAGACGCGAATCCGCGCAGTCAGATTACAAAGCAAGCTAGTTACCTTTAGGCTACGGGCCGGTGAATGGCTTTAAACCGAACAGTGTACGGGACTAGCAGCTTCTAGCAGTAACAACAAGACAGTTGGCAGTTTTGCACTACTTCCAATTTTGAGTAAAAATAGAGGGATGGAAAAAGTCCCGGTTTGTCTTCAACGACCTACGCAAAGGATCGAGTGGTACCATGCAGTATCGGAGAGAATCCATGCGAAATGATGTAAGGGAACTGGAATCGAGAACCCCACAACCATATACCTGTGGTAATGGGGTGGTGGATCAATGTCTGCTTTAACCAGTATATTCCATGGTAGGAAGTGGGCTAGACAAGGTGCATTCACACTGCGAACTGCCAACAGATATCCTTAGCTTTAACGGAGCATCAATTTCATGACAAGTGTCTGCAACATACTGCAGTAATGTGTGTGAGTTTTTACCCGAGGAATGCCTCATTCTATTCAGTAAGTCACGTCTGATGACGATGATGAATCATTTCTTACAGTGACTCAAAGGACCGGAAAAGGAACGGTCTGAACGGAAAGAGGTGTTTGTTACAAATATCCAGTCCGTAAATTGCTAGTTACCTTCCTTGTAATGATGATCACGAACGACTGCAGAGCTTCACAGAAAGACGGACCGCATAAAATTACTGAAAACAGAAGCTAACCGACAGCCAAATGTATATGCACTGACGCAATGTGCACTGCATGCTCCAGACTGCATGATGTAGTCGCAGGACTAGGCCTGCAAGTAATCGAGCGGCGCACCTACCTTGGTATTACTATATCATCCCTTGTGGCTAAATCACTGACGAGGAACTGTTCAGCCATCCATGAATGGAACGGAATTTCGGCTAGCAAGTCAAAAGTGGGGTGTACAGCGCTGTCATAAGGCCGATTGAACCAACATATAGCTACTCCATGGAAAACACATGAAGTGCTTGATCGCCTTTGATTACCGGTGCCACTGAACTATCGCCCATGTCTGCTGGGAGCCCCAACACCATCTGGTGGCCCGCTGGGATGTTTGTTTAATTTGGACCTCTTACTTTGTGTCTAAGTCATGTCCTTCGTATGTCGGTTGATTGTCGTGCTTGGCGTGCTGTAGATGCATCAAGCTGGGCAAAAGCACGAGGTGGCCAGTCAAATGTGTGACAGCGACATGGAAAAACCAAGTGAGAGACCTGAGCAAGCTGGTGCATGCGATCTTCGTGGATGGGCCACATTAATGGCTTGAGACTTTTTCGAATATGCTGTAGTCGTGGAGTCATTCGCTACAGCAAGCAGGCTTGGAATCTCGTTGTCAACAATTCATCAAAATAAATTTTCCTCACTTCACAGCTCTCTTTTTCTCATATTCCTTCTGTCTTCTACCTAAGTTCGCTCACTATCGTCAACTATTGTTATGCTGATGACGCAAATCGTAGCAATAAAATCCACCGCACTTAGCTGCTCGGACAACATCAGCATCCCATGTCCACTGCATATATGTATGCTGCCAATTGCGATGTAGTAATCCATTTTGTGTTGTAATAACTGAAGCAATGAGAAACCCGCGATTATTGTGAGAAGGCTGTTGTGTAATGTTCCACTCCCCCAGAACAGGCCACGTTTACCTGATGAGACCACACAAGCACAAAACGCCAGATGGAGCGCACTGATGAGAGACAGCAACACCGAAACATTTCATCACTAAGGGTACTGTGATTCTTTTGTACTGCGGTTAGTTTGAAGAATCAGTAAATGTTTAGTGTCTACGTGGTGAGGCAATTGAAATATTTGCATGCCACAGCAGTGTATAATGTGCACATAGCTGCGAGTTTTACTTGTGCTCACATGGTGAATTGCCTCGGTGAATTTCGAAACTTTTCGCTAGTGACAATTGTCCCTGCATCTTTGTGCACAGTCCCTCCGCTGTGGTTATGAACAGGCTAAATCCTTGCAAGTGGCCAATTCCTTCACAGTATCAACACTTTAGTGAACTTCCGGCGTTTCGGGCAATTCAAGTAAAGCTTCATTCGTTAGAACTTAATGGAGAAGAACCTAAAGAATACGAGCCAATCATGGAACAAATTTGAGACTTGGATCCGGTTAATACAAAAAGAGTCTATCGAGGAAAAGTGGAGGAGATCCTTTTGGAACGCATTCATAAACACACAACACCCATCCATAACACGATACATACACAATTTCGTTACTGGAGACGAATGTGAACTTTTCTGCTCATATTTACGATAAATGCTAATGTGGCTATTCTCCCGTGCATAACATTTTGTGTTTTGGTTAGTTCCATAAGTTGCATCTGCTCGGAAAGTGGGCAATAGTACTCGAGACTAATAGCAATTTCACGCTCTGTGACCATGCAACTTAAAGTAAAACGCTTCATTCAACGCCCATATGCAGTCTTCTTTGGGATCTGTCTTCAAAGGGACTCCGAACCGCAAGTACTTCCACCGCACATCAGTGATTGAAAAATCATGACAGATCAAAGGAATAAGCTGCATTGAAGTGTTTCGGTGTGGAAGACGAGCGTATAAGAAATGAGTTCACAGCAAATGAATGAGTGACTTCTCTGCACGCCATCCCATAAACACAAACATAAAAACAGAGCGTCAACGACAGCGATGCACAGTGCCGAGTAAAAAAGTGAAATCAACTGGATTCGAAGACGATTCGACTGCGTAGTAGTATATTGACTCAACGCTGACGTTGGAGGAAGATATCCTAGGTAGATTGCATTTAGCATGACAGTAGAACACAACACAAGTGTACTCACGTGAGATTGAAACATGCAAGACCGCTGATGAGCCAGCATTTTGAACACAAAGTATACGTCGAATAGAAACTCATGCGTGAATTGGTTGATGAGGATGCGGAGAGCGCAGAAAGTGCCTACACGAGTTCCACCAGAGCTGCGATGGGAAAAGGGGAGAGAAAATGGAGTGAACGATGTGTCGAATTCCTGTGCGTTGATTCTAATGAACAGAAAACGGACACAAAATCGAGGCAAGACACTCCATAGGAGCAAATGACACAGATGACAGGAGCTTACACAGATCGAGTTCGAGATGCTTCTGTTGGGCACGAAGCATCTGGTGCGCGCTGAAGAAATAGATTAATATCGATCGAACGAGGCGACTATATAAACCCCGCCCGTCCTCAACTGTGAAGGTAACAAGGCTAAACGTGTCTTATAGAATCTGATACAAGTAGCTTCGGAATCATGCTCTAAGCATTTGTTGAAAAGAAAGCGAAGATATCTGGGAAGATAAGCATCTCAGTAGGAAAACAAGCTCTTTCGGTAATCTTCAACAGAAACTCTCAGCTCAGGAACACCGCACCGCGGGCTGATTGCAAAGTCGCTCACTATTGCGTAAATGATTACTTTTATTGGATGATGTAGTTGTTTCAAAAACGGTTCCAAATTAGATTAGAAATGCACGGTAGCCAATTCAGCTCTGCACATTTGTTCAGTACAACAGGTTCGTCAAGGTCATTATCATATTTGGATTGGGTTTGAGGTAGGAAGCTACTCAAGAATGGAATAGCATAGAGTTTGGAAGATATGATAATCTACAAGAGTGAGGTTGAAACAAATGTAAGTTGAGCATGGGGGTATGTGTGATAATCGCACACAACACACGTGAGGGGACTTAAATTTAACCGGGACTAATACTTCAGTAGCAATTTCAAATTCATGTGTGACAGACCGTGTACCTGCGCCTGGAGCCGCCTAAAGATGAAAAATTAAGAAAAATCGAATGGAGCGAATGGAGCTTCGGAGAAGGAAAGTCATGAGATAGAATCGCTTAATGCGTGCTCGAAACATAATGGGTTGTAGTGACAATGACAAAGGCAAAAACCAGGACCTAAGTTTGTTTTGTAAATCTGAAGCGTAAACACTGAAGATACACAGCTGGAAGTAAAGAGAAGCCCAGTGTCTGCAGACGAGATCGGACGGAAAAATGTGTACCAGCAGGGAAATATGAAGATTGCACAGTACGTGGCTCTGCAGCACAATCGGGTGTTGCTTCTCTTGCACATGGAAGGTTAAGCGTGGTTTATTTCGTGCGATATCCGATCGTGTCAACCATAGCTCTTAGAATATAGGGGGAGAAGTACAGTGACGCTACCGAGACAAAATCTCAAAATTGCCAAGCAGCACGATGAGCCAGACCACGGGCCGCATCCGGGCGGATGACTGCACTCGAATTTGCTTGAAAAAGCACATGGGACGAGAGGTGTTGTGATATAGCTTGCATTTGACGCTGCATACCGCAGTGTACCTGAGCTTTCACTGGTTGAATCCTAAAGTGAGCCAGCTCATGGTTGTAACATGTGACCCTGTACTATCAGTGCCCCCACAGCATCGGAATATTAATCAGTGGACCTACTATATTTCTGTTTACCTACATTTCTGTGCAGCGATTTTCAGATGATCAGCTCCCTTGATGTAGGTGTCGTACAAAACGCCATCAGTTTGTAAGTGTCAATTCGAAGCCATATTTGCAGGCTACGAGGAACAAATTACAAATTGTTGGTATGGATTCGTCCTGGAAGTGCAAATTATCGGCTTTTTTTACCAGCAGTCTAGTGAATATACATGGAGCCAAACAAGATTGTGGAAATCCCGAAAAGAAGACAGGTTTAATTAACGCAACATCATCATAGCACATTAGCTGCAGGTGAGCAACAGACTTCGGCTATTGTGCCGCAATAAAAGATAAAACAGAAACTTTTGTTATTGCGTACGCGCCAATTTTTTCGCCTTTTGCTATCGTCAAGCATCTAAATCTAGACACTTATGTACACGGATTCTCTACTGGTTTCCATTGCGTGCCATATCTTGAATTTTCAGGGTTCGTATATTCTGATATTACTGATTGCATGTGAATAGTACCGTTATCAAGTTTCAGTCTTGCTTGTTGCTTTACCGTTGGGAATACTTTACTCTAACAGTGCAAGCATTTTACCGCCCACGTATGTACAGCGCTGCGAAAAGAAAGAAAATTAAGAAGGGCATCAGTAGTACGCCGGTACACAGTACCGAAGATTCGCTGCCGCAAAACCACCATCAGTTGCAAGTGAGCTAAGGATACTGCACAGGCTCGAACTCGCGCCATTAGATGACAAGACATGCTCGTTAGCTTCTGGATACGGGCTGTGAAAAAGTCCTGCATGATGTTGAAAAACAGATCTGTAGTTTGATGGCTAAGTTGTCTGAATAATAAGAGAAGTGCACTCTATTCAGGAATTCCTATTCGAGTCATTTTAGTGCTTTAAATATGCTTCAAAAAGTTTTGGTTGCAAAATACTGACTGGAGTAACCACTATGGTGTTTGTTGTCTGTGTAGAAAACGTCAGATGTGTCAAATTGGCATTGGAACCGACTTTTTAAACGATGTGATATTCTTCCAATAGAAATGTAGTGCTGCTGTTTAATAAGATAACAGAATATATACTTGTAAAGTTGAAGTTGCAGAGCAAACTCATAGCATGTGTCGTTAAATTGACTACGGTTTCATCATTAGATACTTTAGGCATCTGGCACAGGCAATTATATGGTAATTGGTATAGTGTTGAATATATATATATATATATATATATATATATATATATATATATATATATATATATATATATAAGGCATCTGGACTAAAATGTGTGCGTTAAAGTAGCAATGAAGTAGGTCAGGCAGGAAGACCGCGGCAAAAGCGGGCTCTAATCAAGCGTAGTCATCAGATCAAGTAAAAAATAAACTCAGACTGGAAACACAAATGACAGGCTGCGATCTAATCGACCCAAGAAGTCAACAGACCGATATAAGTGTGTGTTGTTGAGGACCTCTTTGAGTAACAGGAAATTTACATCTCCTCAGCTGCATAAGGAATAGAAGGAAAACAGCTCTGCGGGATTGTGTACTACAACATTTAGGATTCGACCTGAAAGGCTTCAGGGCAAGGACGAAACCACTGGTGTCTGACACACAAAGGAAACAAAGACTGGCATGGATCAAAAAGTATTCACATTGTACTAAGAAAGTGTGAGAGAGCGATTAGAGTCCCGTCTGCATTATTGGGGATGATGACCCCACATTTGTCGGGCTATTTTCAGGGGAAGAGTACAAACCCCAATGTCTCAATATCTCTGTCAATGGGTTGGAATACCCCATATTGTTGATGGAATGGCTAGTGCAAGCAAACATGAGGAGATCCACAAATGCTGCATGTTACCATTGCCTCAGAAGCTGTGCAAAAAAAGAATACTTCTTCCAAGATGACAATGTGCCCTGCTAACGCGCAGACATGTGCAGAATGGATAAAAAAGAATGAGTGAAGACGCCCGAGTAACCAGCTCAACCCACTGAGTTAAATCCACTCGAGTATTTGTGATAAAGATTATCAATAGAAACGGCCATCAAACAAAAGAGAACTTATAGATGCTTGGAACCAGGTCAACAGATGCAAAAAGCTCTAAAATCTAGCGCATTCAATGCCTGCGAGATACAAAGTAGTTAAGTGAAATGAAGACTGGCCAATCTAGTATGAACATTTGAAATTCTGCACATGGTCCTCTTCTGGACCACTACGACAAAAAATATTTAATTTGTGTAGAATGCCCATTTGGTTGCCAAACCCGAGAAGAAACGTAAGCCGAAGGCTTAGGACGAACAGTTGTTCTTGATTTCTTCCTCATCAGACCTAATACAGAAATATACTTATAAACAAGCAGGTTTGTGGGACAGTATAGGGACACACCATTGATTAGATAAAATTAAACAAACAGTTCTGGTGATAAACGTCAGATGATCAGGTGATTGGCGTCACGTGGGATTGATGGGCGACAGCAAATTCCTCTCGTGTGGTTGATGGCCATGGAAGTTGCAATGCTTGAATGAGCTTTTTTTGGATGCAGAAATTAGGCCTCATCAGTCTTATGCTTACTGATTCAGCAGTAGCAAGCAGACGTGCTGCTAACTGATGAGTCAAGTGTGGCGGTACGTTATACAGGAATTCGAAGGCACTATTTTTGTCGGTGGCAATCAGATGGTTAGTAATTGCACTTAGAATAGCTCTGTCTTTGTGGTTGGTGAGCGAATTCGGTAGGTGCTCCTTGATTCGATTTTCTAAGTGCCTGGTCGTGCGTCCAATATACCTAGCTCCACAGGAGCAGGTGAATCGGTATAGTACATTTGATTGGAGGCGATCAGGCACTTTGTCTTTTAATCTAGGGATAAGCAACGATTCGCTCGTATAGATCACCTTGACTTTAGCTGTCTTGGAGGTATTCCTGTAGGCTTGCATCAATCTTCTTGTGCAGATCAGCCGCTTTGTCACCCTTAAAAGGGATCTCAAGGAACAACTGTTTCTCATCCGTTTGAACTGTTGGCTTCGGATCTTTAAGCCTCAAATGCGCGTCAATAAAGCGTTCTGGATAACCATTCTCAAGTAATGTGTACTTGATTCGTTCCAGTTCATCTGCAATCGTGTCTTCGCTTACAGATCTTGTGCGCACGGTCGGTCAAAGTATGGATCAGTGTTCTTTTGCGGCTGAGGGGCACAAAGCTTTGGAAATATATATACTGCCCCGTCCAATATGGCTTTCTGTACTGTCCTAACTGGACTGATCCGTCGGCTCTCCTCTTTAGATTTACATACAAAAGTTGTTGCTTTCTTCTTCAGCTGTAAATGAAGATGTGCACTGTTGAAACATTTGACGACGTTTTGCAAGTTGGTCGTCTACGTGACGTCGATAGAACATGAAGGTTGAAATGACCGACTTCAGCGGCTCCTTTTCCAGCATCCCCATGTTGACATCTGCCAATAGTGGCCCGAGAGGCGATCCCATTGCTACTCCATCTATCTGCCGGTATAATTCATTGTTAAACTGAAACCGAACGTTGTATGTGTATCTGAGCAAAAACTGCCTGAGCTGACCAGTAGGGATCTCAATGCTTATGTTTTGTCGGTCAATGAAGGAGCAAAGAAAAGCTACGGTTTCTAATAGCGGAACCTTGGTAAACAGCGCTATGACGTCCAGGGAGAGCATGCGATAGTCTAATATGTTTACGTTTTTGACACTCGACAAATTGGAATGTGTCGCCCAGATGGTGAGGGAGTATCTTTCTCCTACTAGGATCCAGTATCGATGCTAGACATTTTGCGATGTGATACGGCGAGTTGCTTACATCTAGTATTGGCCTCAAAGGTGTGTTCAGTTTGTGTATTTTTGGGAGGCCATATAGTCTTGGAATAACGGACCCAATGGGTCTGAGCTTTCATACATTTCTTTGGTCATATAGCCGTCAATCACCACTGATATCAAGAATTTGGTCAGTTGCGTTTCCGTGTATGCTATTTAGTTTTTCTCTTGCTCACACTTTATAAATCTGGAGGTGTCCGCGAGAATCAGTTTCATCTTTTGCAGACATTCTTTGCGATCCATGACCACGGTTCCTGACCCTTTGTCTGGTCTGGCGATGATAATATTCTCATTCCGTTCAAGTTCCCTCACGGCTTCTATGTGTGCCTTTGTCAGGAATCCGGAGTGTAGCAGTGGAAATCTTGGATACTGAAGAGATGTTGACGAGACCTGATTTAAACCGTTCGAGATCTGTAGCTGAGATGGCTACTAAGTCTCTCGTTTGACTGTAATGTTCAAACAGGGTTTCTATTTCTAGACGTTTATCTGTTCTCAAGGGATGGTGTAGTGAAGGTGCTTACATTTGTAGTGTGTCCAATTAAACACTTGATAGCCTGTGTACCAGAGCTGAATGCAGGTTTTTGATAATATCGACTAGTAAGGGCTTCATGATTGAGTGACGTAATATATCGGCTACGAAGTCACAAGCTAGGTGTACTAATAATGAAAATACAACTGTGAAAGAAATTTTGTATATAAGAATGCATATATGAATGTAAAGATGCGAGTGGTGAATCAAGAAAAAAATGCATTGTTCAAGGTGAAGCAGGACTTTTTCACAGCGCTATATGGTGGATTGGCGGTATCCGTTTCTGGACTTGCCCGGCACAGTGTAGCCCACAGGACAGGCACACAATGCCTGCGCTAACAGAGGGTCAGTCGGAGTTTAAATGCTGTTTGGCAGATGGCGTCGCTGCTCCATACTCTGTACAAGTTTGTATTGAGATACAAGAGAACTTCCGATGTTGACTATCTCTATATCGTGACCAGTTATTATTTATTAATTTAAGGTTTACCATGTGAACTCTATGGAATCAGACCTCGGTATGTTGACCATTTTGGTCTACCCATTGAGTGGTCCAATTATTGAAGATTTACTGCACCATAATCTTGCAGCATCCGTTTCCGAATTTGCCTGTCACTGTGGCCTCAATGGAGACAGCCACAGGACGCCTGCGCCTACAGAGGGACCATGGGTGGTTTGCGATGCATCATCCACAGCTCCATCCACATATCCCATATCCAGTGTAAATCCGAAAGAATAAGACCGGGAGGCATTTAGATGGGAGCCACATTTAATCAACGGAGCAGGCTCAGACTCCTTTAACAGGCACAGCAGCAGCAATTCTGTCTATCTATGTAAGGAATCATGCGTAGCAGATGTACACAAAGAGGTGGCTGGGCCGTAGTCCGCTCCACACTGAATGGAACCACTCGTTGAGCCTAGCACGAACACGAGGACCGTGCACCCTTTCCCCCCAGCAACGATTCAGTGTCCTGGAGCCAGTAATCGAAGTGGATGGGGTTAGACAAGTAGGCAACTTGTCAACATTTATTTTAAGCACAGCCAGGCATAGCATTTTATACAGGATGGTTGGTGTCAAGCGCAAGTCCGACAAGACACTCAGTCAAATTGAGTCCAAATGAGACGACAAGAGACATCGTATACATCGTCGGCCTCAGCCTAGGCAAAACGCAATATATATATATATATATATATATATATATATATATATATATATATATATATATATATATATCTTATATGATATGCTCCATTACCAAAGATACCTATGAATTTTATATGTTCCTTTTTGGGCCTTAGACCTACCAATGCTCCCAGGTCTTGTGTTTTTCGGATGTTTTAATAGGATTTTTATTACGACTGTAAGTGAATCTCTTTTTCTTGTTCAGATCCGGTGCATTACACCCTTCATTATGGCTACAAGGGAAAGAAAAGTTGACACGTGGTATCGTGTTACCTTTCTTTATTCTCCGGAGTTTTTGTTACCGCTTGCTACTAGTGCGCAGAATAAGTATGCAGCCAACGCTAATTATTTTGTCAGTTATCCGGTTTGCTGTGAGAAACGTTTGGTGACCCTTGAACTAGACCAACGTCCGATCGACGAGAGGTGATCTGAGTGTCCGTGGCTTCCGAGCTTAACGAAGCGCATGCTCTTTAGAGGTTGAATGTCTCTAGGAATCACCATATATGTATTGGTTTGGGGGAGTATGAATTTCGAACACTCTGCATGCTACACCATCGAAGCATTGTGAGGACAATGAACACTTATCAGGGTAGCTTGGTGATCCATTCAGCGTTACGAATAGGTGGTAGGAGTTCTCCTACTTTTGTCAATACAAACCAAGCGGGGAGGCGGTGTTTTCACACACACACACACACACACTTGTCACCGCGCTGATGTGGGTATATATACTTTTAACAAAGAGAAGAGATGGGCGCAAGCGAGCAATCACAAAATGGAGTTTAATCGGGACAGACGAGTGGTGCACCGTTGGACAAACCGCCGAAAGGTGAGGCGGGTGTTTGTGGCACGATGTTAATGACCAAACTGTGGGACAAAGCCTGGTTAGACTGACAAAGACGACAGAATAAATTGGTGTCCCATAAAGAGTTGAATGGCGCATGGATTAAGCTCGGACTCAGAGAAGGACAGCGTAAATCAATAGACATCGAATAACAAAAAAATAGGAGAAAGCGGCTAGATGGGATGACACACCAGGGTAGGTGTGTGCAGCATAATCCAAATGGTATCACCACAGCGGTAGGAGAGAATATACTGCCCCACAGAGATGGAACTAGAGGAATGTGGTGAGCAGATTGGTTGCATACTCATGATGGACCACGCGTTCGTTATTATTTCATGTTAAATAGTGAAAGATCCAGACAAGGTTTCAGTGCCATGAGGTAAGTAACAGCTGAGCGTGGGAATTCGCAGTTCTGAGAGTCACACCCATCCTACGGATAGAAAAAATGTGCATGTCAGCGGAATACGAACTGTGTTTGAGGGGAAACGCCTGGTAACAACGACTGGTCCAGGAGATGAAAAAGTGGCGACGAGTTCCGCATAACAGTTGCGTCATCGTCGAATGTGCTTGACAGAATGAACACTGATGAAGGGTGCAGAAAAAATGGAGCTGCTATCTTAGGGTTACACAGAACGACAGTGAACCATTGGTTTCTTTGCTGGAAAACTCAAATGACAACTTCAATCCTTTACTTTAGTTAGGTAGGGACGAACGAAGTAAGCCATAAAAGAGAAGGAGCCACCAATCAGTTATCTCACTGATGTCAATTAAGAAAACAATGAGCGAACAAAAGACGTAAGTAATGACGGAATTACTTGTCCACCACAACGATTGGACCAGATGATGTCATGAACTCAGTGTCCTCATCGTCCTCTTCATCATCTGGAATGAGGGAAGCCAAATCTAACAGGGAATGAGCCAGTGCCAATTGAGAAGTGTTCTCCAGTTCCACCGAAGGCCAACCGGAAAAGCGCCAAAGGGTGCACACCAGGGCGTAGTCCTCTCGGTCAGAGGTCAGAAGGAATTCGAGCCGAGTCAATGACTGGTTGTAGGGACTACTCCCAGCGTAGGTCACATGTAGCCAGCCAATGTCTCGTATCTGGTGGATGGAGAGTACAGTCAACTAGTTTACAAGTGATAACGAAAGTACGGTCGTGGTTTTTAAGTAGCGATAATGTACGTATAGTCCATTCAGGTAGCAACAGCGTATGACCGATAGGTGAAAGAGTACGTGGTAAAACTACAGCTTCGGTTTTCAGAAACTGCCCGTGCATGTGTAATGATAAATGAAGCACTGATGCTTAATAGACCTGGAAGAACTGAAGGTTCCAGAGGCATACAATAGATTTTGTAACGTGAATGTATTATGATACATAGGAGGAAAAGCCTTCGCGCTTCATACCCGGAAGTATGAATGCCAACTATACGTCTAGACTGTGAGGACATTGAGCACTATTCAATATGGGGTCAAATTCGTCGCACTTCTAATGTGCAGACACAAAGCAGACAGCACACATATTGCCGCATCGATTTTATTCAAGCTTGAATTAAAGTATTCCGTGTAGACGTGGTATTGCAAATAATCGGGTACCTTGCAGCGGGGTTGAAGTAGGATTCAATGGGCATAGTATTGGGCACTTGCTCGACTCCAGTTAGAGTGATGAGTTGTAACAAGAATCGAATACTCAAGCGAATAGTAACAAGAGTCCTTAGTGTTGCTAAGAATGGGGATTCTCCTCTGAATGCATTACAATAGGCAGAATACGCCAGAATTGTCTTCCCTCTCTAATCCTTCTCGACTTTGTGATCGAAATAACCAAGAATGACTACCTTGTGTATCCTTCCATCACTGATGTGCTCGAAGTTTTGCATGGTGACAGACGGTAACCTTTTGTATAAGTGAAGCACATGTAGTAAAACCTTCGAATTGGACCCCCTCTCTAGGTTGACCGTTATATCTTTCATTATTTGAACGTTCACCATGTAAACCTAATGGAGCCAGACCTCGATAGGTCGACCACTTTGGTGCAGTTCCTTGAGTGGTTAACTTACGGAGGTTTTACTGTAAATTACTATACATCGGGCCCAGCCTACGCGCAAGAGCTACTAAGTAGGTTCGCGCGATAGATGATGTTTTGCACCTCTAAGGTGCAAAGTGCCGGAACAGGACAGAATCGGTATGCAACCGATTCGCACTATCAAGGAAAGGCCGCTCGGAGTTGTAGACATATTGACTTCAGTTGTTGTGGTGTTATCCGAGCTGAGCAACTTGATCGCAAACGTTCCACCACCATTCGAGGTGGCATCTTCAGTGCAGGATTGATAGCAGTCAGGTAGCAGGAGCTGGTAGAAAGCAAACGCAATGACGGACGTTTACTTATTTGAGTAGCTGCATCTCACCTCTGTCGAAAACGTTACCATCCGCATTGTTTTCCAGAGTCTGTGTGATTTATGAAGACGGTTAGCGTTAAGATTCGAGCAATGTTAGTGAATGAATCAGAGAACAGGATATTGGGTGTTGAGAAAACCAAGAGATACAACGTGCTTGACCACCGATGCCGCGAAGAATTGTTCATTTTCGATTGGAGAGAGCAGTTCGTTCACTCAAAAGCTGAACGCCTTATACTTGGTTTCAGCAGTTAAGGAGATACTCGGATTACTGACCGGTCTATTCGGTACTTACGACAATGCCAGTAATAAGTGGCTTAGGTACCCTGAACATATGGTGACGACTCACAGAGCATACAAACGATTCTAGACCGTTTGCCAATTGAGGCATCTAGGTACGGAATGTGCTTTGCCCCGTCAAAGTGTAAAGTGCTGCTTCAAGATTGGCACTCGCCCGTTTCTGTGCTCACTAGTAAATGTACACAGTTTGAACAAAAGGGATAGGTTGGTCTACCTGGACAACTGTGTGTTTGCTGGTTGCACTAAGGAGAAGGAAGTTTCCTCGGTATCGCCAAAGCTCGGTCGACGTTTGTCCACATGTAGCAATTGTGGTGTCGTCGGGATGTTTCACTCTTGGTAAAGGGTGGTATTTACAATGCCACTGTTCGGGCGGTGTTGGTATATGGAAGCGAATCATGGCCAGTTCGCGTAGACAACATGCGCTAGCTCTCAGCATTCGACAATGGGTGCTTGAGGAGGAATGCTCGTGTGTTGTCACAACAACGTATTCGCAACAGTGAATTCAGACGTCGTGTCTTAGGGAACGTAATATTTGCTTCAACAAGCTGATTTTGCTGCACAAGTTAAGATGGCTCGGTCATGTCCTGTGTATGTCAGCTGAGCGCTAACTCTAACGCGCTCTGTTTTCTCGTGCAGGACTCAATTGGAAGGTAACAGGCAGTGGTCCACCATCCATCTGGCGACCGCATATAAAATCGTTGACTTCACGTCTTGAAACGATTGCATCCACACGTCTGCCTGGTTGGGGATCGAAGGACGAGGGGTGCAGATGGCTGGAAACAATTCGGAATATGGCGCGCAATCGAAACCAGTGGATGATCTGTGTATATAACTGTTTAGATGTAGATGCTTAATGCTCAAGGGTTGAAAAAGACAAAAAAATGAGAAACTGGCGTGTGCAAAATAACAGAACGCTCCGTTTTTTCTTTTATTGCGACACAATAGCTGAAGTGTGTTACTCACCTTCAGCTAATGTGCCGTGATGCGGATGCGTTGATTAAACCTGTCTTCCTCTAATAATTTCCGTGGTTTTGTTTGACTCCATGTCCACTCACTAGGCTGCTGCTTTTCCTACTATCACATGCGTATCCGCAAAGTTGCTTGTGAAGGCCAGACAATGAAGGGATGGTGTTCGGTTTATGAAGGCTCACTACAACCGCAATGCCACAATCAGCGCAGCTCATATCAATGTGCCTGGGGACACAGTGGGTCAAGGAGTCATATACTGCAACAAGGTAGTGTTACGCGTGATGTCCGATACTCTTGTCACAACCGAGCCGGCCCTTGGCCGTAAAGATCACAAGCTTGCCTTGTAATCCGAGAGCGCGTGTTCGAACCTGCGTAGGGGACCGGGCAACCCACACAGTATCCTTAGCCCACATACGACTGTTGGTGGCTGCGCGGCAGCGGAGCGTCGGTACTGCATACCGGTGTACTGCTGACACCATTCACATTACCTTTCACAACCGGACTGTGAATCGGATCGTTCACCATGTACGACTGTGCGCACTTCGCACCCTCATCGAGCCAAAGTAGGCCGGATTCGTTAAGCCTCAAGACCACTGCTTATTGTGTCCAAAGTAGATTTTGGAAATTGATTGAACTATACATGGAGACAGAGGCTCACCAAGTGTGATAAAGATTTTGTCAAAGTTTTCGTCCAAAAAGCGACGATGGAGAAGCTCACATGTTCACCAAATCAGTGTCGGACTTGCTAAGGTTTTGGACAAGGCCTCGCGTGACTTTTGATTTTTGCTTCCTGGACGTTATCGGCTACCTTGCAGACTACGATGCTAATTTGAGAAGAATTTGACGTCTGTTAGGGTATGCCCCACCTTGCAGACACTCTATGGAGCGGTGTGTTAAAACCTCCTTCCGGGCGGACATTCGTTGTCGATGAGTCGGAGGATGGACGACAATAGCGTTCTTAGCGCAGATTGAAAGACAAATATTTCTTACATGATTTTTCATTGAACTCAACCTCTTTGGACTACTTCTATTTGCTTAGGGAATACGAAAAAAAAACTTACTGTATGGCAAATCTCCCGACGTGTGTCCCACTGACAAAACCCAACGGGAACATCACGCAACTTCACTCAACATCTGAGGGTGGGCGATGCGCCGACCGCAGTTTCCCGGGCAAGTACCCATTACCGTCCCCAGTTATATAACTGTACTCTGTCCTATTGTTTAAAGTATGTATTTGCAAACCTGTTCGCCGAAAATACACATTTAGATGATCTTTGCCGATAGAGCCTAAAGAGAGTACCTGTTGAGCCTGAACCGTCTACATTGACTCGATCATGTGCTTCGCACGCATTCCTACTCGCTTAGTTGGGTAATCTTGAGGTTTCCGCTGACTGTACGGATAACCTGCTGCTATCGCGTAAGCTGATCGGCCAATTTGCCAGAGTAGAAGACAAAAGCCTCAGACGAAAACTGCGCTGCATACCCAGCAAGCAGTAAAAGCAAATCAAATAATAGGGTCGAATCAATAGTTAATAAGGGAATGGTCTAGCGAGAACTGTGAGCTTATAACAAGTGGATCTGTTGTCTCGCATGACTAGCTTTTACGGGAAGAGGGTCATCAACCTCTAAGAGGTGATCAGTCAAAAACAGCAAAAAAGCAGTAAGACACCGAGATAATAAGTCTGGTTGGCTCTTGTCGTCATCCCAGATGGGATTCTTAGGACATGTCACATTAGTGTTTATGGATACCTTACCAGGTATACAGAGGGCACGAACCCAATGGTGTTCCTGCATCCGTGCTGTTAATCCGGACTCAAGATTATGCCATATGATCATATGAGTTCGTGTTCATTCCTAGTGAATTATTAGTGATAATATTAGCAGGATGACCTTAGAGAGGTGTGTCGAAGCAACTGGATCCACTGCATGTCGGTACACGAAACATAAGCTGAACTGACCTGACCTGTAGTTTAGGGTGACGTTATATGTGGTTTGTCCTGAAAGTAAGTGGATTGATACTGGCAAAGACAATTTACTACGAACAACATGGATTACATTTTAAACTACTCAAGTTTGGACCCTTGTGACTTTAGACAGATCTGCCAACGTTTTTTCGATTGTTTGTATGCCTCCTGGAAATTCTTCTCTGGATGCTATGAAGGTAGCTCGTTGTGGAGTTTTGAAGGGCTGAAACAGTCTGAAAATGACGTCCTCTCGTGATACTTCAGTCATGGAACAGAAATAGGTCGCAAGGAGACAGGTCTGGGATGTACGTAGGTTGTGGCAAGGTTGGAATTTGTTACTTAGTCAGAAACTCTCTGATAGCCAAAGCAGTGTGGCTCGGTGCGTTTTCACGATGGAACATCCCGCTCTCAGTAGTCTCAGGAAGAGCGTGATGGACTCCTCGACGAAGTCGTCAAAATTTCGCGAACGCATTTGGGG